GAGCCCCCTCCCCGAGCCAGTGTCCCCTTCTCCACCTTCTCCTGCATCCAGATTTCCTTCCAGAGCTTACACCGCTCACCCCTTCCCACACCCAAATCCTTCATTCCCACCCCAGAGACTACACATCCTGTCTCAACCCAGCAAGGGTCTGGCTAGACTGCAGGAGTTTTTCAGGATTCTGGAGATATCCCAGAAAAATTCTTCTGCATCTAGGGTTGCGTTTGTTCTTCCGCTTTTTTAGTGGAAGAGCAAACAGGCTCTTTCGGTCACCCCTATATTCCTCCTTCCACAAGGAATAAGGGGGCTTCCAAAAGAAGGGTTTTTTTTCTGACATTTGGTCCAGTCTAGACAGGCCAAATGTTGGAAAAACCTCTTCCTACAGGAGACATTTTTTTTTTAAAGCAGCAGCATAAGGATTGGGGATAGCCAGTGATGGGAGGAGGAGAATAGAGAGGGGGGGCTTCAAGGAAGGGGCGGGGCTTCAAGGAAGGGGCAAGGCGGTAGATCTTGGCTTGGTCTGTCATTTAAAAAGTGATCTTGGGTGTAAAAAGGTTGTAGACCACTGACATAGAGGTATGCTTTTCCACTATCAATATTTAAATCACTAATGGTATCTGGAAATGAAATGAAGATCTTGTGTTAGCTTTACTTTGTAACTGAAGGCTCTATATGTTTTTTATATAGAGACACCCTAAATACTTCAGATATATTAAATTAAAGGTATCCTTTTTTATATACGGCATGGCTAATTTAATTATGATGTTTGAAAATGTGCTTCTTGTACACATTTAGAATTGCTTATAGTATCACTTTGTGTTCATTTTAATAAATCAGTGTTATTCCCTAAATGAATAAAGTTGAGATGTGGTTTCTCTGAAATAATTTCAGACTTTTGGAAGGTATTTGTTGTACATGTTTTTGATATATATTTATTACAAATTATTTTAGGTAGTCAGTTACTTGACTGGTCTACATTTCTCACATGTAGGATTACTATCCTGATCCCCTTTGATGTGTTAAGTAAAATATCTGTTGTGCAGTACTGGTGATGTTCTTTTTTACATGTAACTTTTTTTTTCCGCTATGGTGTAGCACCTATATAATGCTACGTGCCATTAATTCCTGGGAATAACAGTTGAAGTTGAAGCAAAATGCAGGACAATGTAGCACTTTAAAGACTAACAAGATGGTTTATTAGATGATGAGCTTTCGTGGGCCAGACCCACTTCCTCAGATCAAATAGTGGAAGAAAGTAGTCACAACCATATATACCAAAGGATACAATTTAAAAAAATGAACAAATATGAAAAGGACAAATCACATTGCAGAACAGAAGGGGGATGCGGGGGGGTGGGAAGGGGGAGGAAGGAAGGTAAGTGTCTGTGAATTGCTGATATTAAAGGTAGGGAGAGTGGGATGTTTGTGAGTTAATGGTATTACAGGTGATAATTGGGGAAACTGTCTTGGTAATGGGTGAGAAAGTTCAAAGACTTGTTAAGTCCTTGTTGGTAAGTGTCGAATTTTAACATGAATGACAGTTCAGAGGATTCCCTTTCAAGTGCAGATGTAAAAGGTCTTTGTAGCAGAATGCAGGTGGTTAAGTCATTGAGAGAGTGTCCTTTCTGGTTAAAGTGGCAAGAAACTGTTGAAGTTGAGGATGCTTATTACCATGCTAAATCACATCCTTACATTGTAGCGCACAAATGCAGATATAGGTCTCAGATAAATCAAGAGATTCTTTATTGTTTTGTGTTCTGACATTGGTGCAGGTTTGTGTGTGCCTCCTCATTCTCTTTTAATGCTTTCAGATACTGCCCTGGTGGACCTGATTCTGATTTTGAATACTCAACACAGTCTTACACTGGCTATGAGGTACTAACTTTGAGGGTTATGTTGTGGTGTCCCATTTTGTCTGTGAGATTGGGACAGACTCCTTATTGCAAGCATGAAAAAAGAGGGGGAAAAGAGAAACATATGACTAATGAAACAATTGATGTTTTAGAGCTGGAAAAAAATTTGAATATTTTGTTAGCTTTTTTTTTTCCTGCTAGGCATTAATGAAAGTTTTTCTTTTCCTACCAGTTTTATCATTCTCATGTTAGCAAAGATAAGTTTTCTTTCTTTTCCTGTTTCAGGCAGCTTTAAACTTAAAGGGACACTGGCAGGTTCCAAGTATGATTTCTCCAAAAGTTATTCTTCCTCATAAATATTGCCCGAGGAAACAGCTGACTGGAAACTTGCATGCTCTAAAGCCTGGCTTATTGTAACTCACTTTAACAAAGAATGGGCTTTTGGGGCTTTTTCCTCCCCCCCCCCCCTTGCCCTCCCTCTCCCCTTCATGGAGCGTGTGCTGTGATTGGCAGGTGGAAACTGTTGGCTTCTAATTAAAGTTTGAATTCTAGAAGCCTCTGCTGATTGGCTGAGCCTTGGTAGGGGGAGGGACTTTCAGGCACTTCAGGGCTTTATAAGGCAGTGGGCAAGCGATCAAGGAGCTTGCTAACAGGTGAGTGCTAACAGGGAGTTTAGAGAGGGAGTTGGGAAGGGGGCGAGGTTCTCTTGCCTTTCTTTTTAAATCTCTTCTCCAGGACAGCAGCGAAGGATGGTGTTAGGCCTGCTGTTGTTACCTGCACGGAGTGTGCCATGTTTGTCTTTGCCCCAGAAAAAAGAACAGATTTCATCTGTACTAAGTGCAAGCTGGTCTCCATTTTGGAAGAAAAAATTAGAGGACTAGAGGCCCAAGTGTCGACTGTACGCTCAATCAGAGAGGATGAAGACTTCCTCGATAGAAGGCAGCGTTTGATCCTTCAAGCACAGCAGGCGGAAGAGCCAGAGAGGGCAGTACGGGACCAGGCAGAGAACTGGAAGTATGTAACTTCTAGAAGGGGAAAAAGGACAGCATGGGAATCCCCCAATGCTATAGAGGTAAGTAATCGCTTTCAGGCTCTCTCCACAGGCGCTGCAGTGCTGAATGCTTTGGAAGGGACCTCACAAGGAAGAAATCAGAAAGGAACACCATCTACTGGAAAGCATGGGATGTGTAGTCCTAGGGATGGGGGTTCCACGGCCACCACCCCCAAAAGAAAACAACGGGTGGTGGTGGTCAGGGATTCCCTCCTAAAAGGGAGTGAGCCATCCATCTGCTGTCCAGACCTGGAATCTCGAGAGGTGTGCTGCTTACCGGGAGCTCGCATTCAGGATGTGACTGAGAGGCTTACCAAATTGACCAAACCTTCAGGATCGCTACCCCTACCAGCTTCTCCACGTGGGAACTAACGATACAGCCAAGAATGACCTTGAGCGGGTTACTGCGGATTATGTAGTGCTGGGAAGAAGGATCCAAGAACTCGGAGCACAAATGGTGTTCCCGTCCATCCTCTCTATTGAAGGGAAAGGCCTGGGCAGGGATTGTCGAATTGAGGACGTAAATGCATGGCTGCGCAGGTGGTGTCGCAGAGAGGGCTTTGGTTTCTTTGACCATGGGAATTTGTTCCGGGCACAAGGATTGTGAGGAAGAGATGGGATCCGCCTAACCAAGAGAGGAAGGGGCACCTTCGCACGCAGGCTTGCAAACCTAGTGAGGAGGGCATTAACGTAGGTTCCTCGGGGGACGGTGACTAAAACCCTGAGTGGGAGTGGGAAAGTCAGATTCCGGGAAGAAATGCAGAGAGGAACGAGCAAGAAAGGAGGACCCCTGATTCGAATGGAGAAGATAGGGCGATCAACTGGTTCTCTGAGGTGTTTGTACATTAATGCGAGAAGCCTGTGCAACAAACAGGAAGAACTGGAGGCCCTGGTCCAGTCCAAGACATATGATTTAACTGGGAAAAAAAGAGACTTGGTGGCATGATTTGCATGACTGGAGCACTGTCATGGAAGGGTATAGGACTGTTCAGGAAGAACAGCAGGGGAGAAAAGGAGGAGGAGTTGCACTATGTAAGAGAGAACTATGACTGCTCTGAACTCCAGTATAAAGAGGGAAAAAAACCTGTTGAGAGTCTATGGGTTAAGTTTAAAGGAGCAAACAACAGCAGTGATTCTGTGGTTGGTGTCTGCTACAGGCCCCCGAATCAGATGGATGAGGTAGACAAGGCTTTCTTTGGACAACTGAGAGAAGCTTCCTGATCGCAGGCCCTGGTTCTCGTGGGAGACTTTAATCACCCTGACATCTGTTGGGAAACCAATACAGCAGTACACAGGCAATCCAGGAAGTTTTGGAGAATGTTGGGGATAACTTCTTAGCACAAGTGCTGAAGGATCCGACCAGGGGCCGTGCGCAGCGTGACCTTCTGCTCACAAACAGGGAGGAACTAATAGGGGAAGGAGAGGTCGGTGACAACCTGGGAAGCAGTGATCATGAGATGGTAGATTTCAGGATCCTGACCAAAGGGGGGGGG